GTGGCCTTTAAGTGGGCTGGACTTTAGATTAAGCTATCTGGATTTGAGCCTCGGGCAGGGTTAATGTGTTGTACAGGATAACTCCAAGCTAGTACTTCATTCAACAGAAACTGGCAGAAAAATCTTCCAGCTGTGTGCTGTGCCATTAGACAGAACTGTCTTTGTACCATGTGTAACAAGCATACCACCACAATTTAAGTACTAATTTCTATAAATACTAATGTCGAAGCAAAAGCGTTTGAGAAAATAATTATTCATTAACCCACCTCATTGAAGGTCATTGGCAATTCTGAGGGGTGGTGGGTTTCAAATGCTAATTAAAAATATTTAATATTTAATTTGAATGCCAAAGTATGGAGATGAACTTGAATTTCCAGAAGGGTGAAAGAATTAATTTAAAACCAAGAAACCCTTTGTGATCGGGGGTGTGGAACATCAACCATTTACACGTAAAGGTTTGGAAAGACATGCCCCTACCATGTTGCGCTATTTGAGAAAAAAATCTTCTCGACTCCACCTCAGTGAGAGTTTTATAGGCACTGTGATGTAAAATATTAAACTATGCAGCCTCCCTCTCCCCTCCCCTCCACAGACCCCTGGCATTTGCTAACAATTTTGCAACAAGTTGTTCTTTAGTTCAGAACAAATTCATATTTTGTTTAAAAGCAATACATATAAATGCCTTGTTTAGGGTCACAAGCATCCCATCAGGAAAACAAGAGTGCTGTGCCATTAGAGGAGGTGAGTTGGAATAAGGGATAAGTAAACTGCTTGATTAAAAGGAATTAGATTTTATACGTATTCATTTACTCATGCATAAAAATAGTAGCTGTAAGGTACCTCATATTACATAAAATCTGCTTTTTTCATTCAACGTAATACTATTAAACGTGAGAGACTGTGTTTTACCGCAATTATAAACACTTAGTGAGATGTTAGTTGAAAATACAATGCACAAAGTGGTGTCAGTAGTATTTTTGACGAACTTCCAGTTGTTCGGAAATGTAACAAACACTGTCTTGAGCATTTGATTCAAGGTGTATCTTCTCAACCCAAACTAAAACTCAAGACAAAACAGAAAACCGTCAAACTTGCATACTCTAGTTGCAAAACTAACTGTTCTTCCACACAATAACGCTTTATGCCTTCAGGACTACGTGTAGCTAAAAGAAGAATTTCTTTGGTTGGGTGGCTCGTTAGTTAAGTTTCTTGCCTTTGTAATGTTACAGCTGAGTAAAGCCTAGTAGTGTTTAGCTTTGTAAACATTCCTTTTGTTCCAGGCAAGTCAAACCAAAGTTTGCTCGAAGGAAGAGGTTGACGAAGCTGTCGAGAGCTGGAACAATGGCTGTAAAAGCCGTCCAAAAACTCGCCGGCTTGCAGACCCAGTGTAAGCTACTCAACTTTAAACTAACCAGCGTCAGTTTGAATTATACTAACTATAAAATCATTATATTATATTATTTCATACTCTACCTTCACAATCCACTGGTCAGCCGCTGCCCGTTCGAATTTAAATATAAGGAGTCGGCTATCTTTAAAACGGGGAACGGGGAATCGGGGA